TTGTTTAAGTGCTACTTCCTTGAGATCCAAGTGTTTTCGCTCCAGATCTGAAGGTGCAATGTAAGGCTTGTCACCACCACATACCTGTACAGACAGAATTACAGTAGGAGAGATTACATGCCAGAAATAATTACCACTTGAAAGAAGTTCCCTGCTCATAGTTTTAACCAAGCCACTTACATGATTTACTTTTAAATTTGTATGTAATACTTTGCAGATTAATATAACCTATTGTTTCTTACAGGTTTAACTGACTCAAGTAATCTTCCAAATATGAATAATACTACTAAAACTGAAGTAAAAAAACTTTACACTACACTTGATACCTGACTTCACCTGACCCACTAATACATCAGGTGGCTGACAAGAGTGGATAAAAGATTACATACTGACATAGAACAAGCTTAGGGTAGAAGTTGCTACTAGCCTTAAGCCAATGTTAACTTCTACCACAGGCTATTAAGAACAGTGCTCTGAATCACAAGTCAGAAAACATTTTAGTAGAGGTTATGCAACACCTTACCACCTGAATTCTAACCATGTGAATTATTCTTAGTTTATTTCCAACAGAGATTATAAAGGGGGATTGTGAAACAATATAACAATATGTAAGAAACACTAATTGGCTCCATTATTTTAAATATAAAAGTCTCCTATCCTGCTAGTATCAAATTTAAATTTTAGTTACAAACCTGTTCCATGCTTTTGCAATAGAGATCTCTTGCTCCTGCTACAGCAGCAAGATTATTAGCTTCAGCTGTTGCCTAAAAAATAAAATTAAATGCACAATTATTGTTCAAAAAAATACCCTATGACTCTACAAAATCTGATGAACATAATAAATTATATACAGTGAACAAGTCTAAATTGAACCATAAAAAATATCAACGTAAAGTTTTCCTTTCCTTTAGGAGAGTATATCAGTAGCTTATGATATAGATTTTTAAAAGGATAGTTGCCTAAGTTTATTTTGCTTAGATTCATGCTTAAAGAGGTTTTCAGAAAGTACCATGTGTTATGAAATGGACAGATACAGATATAATCTTAAAATGCGCTAGATTTCCTTCCTTACATATAGTTCTTTCATAATCAGATTCACACAAGACATATTTTCAAACCTATAAAACTGCTTACTACATTAATTTTACTAGAAAATACTATTTAATCCACTATAAAACTGAGAAGCTGCCCAAAGTAGTGAGTCTTTAAAAAACAGAATCTGAATTAAACAATACTAATTCATAATAAAAGAACATAATTTAAAGTGGGGGGGGGAGCCTATTCACTAGAAGCAGCTCTAAATCAATAGCAAATGAAAATAAGCTTTTTTTCAAACAACAATCTTTGTCAAAGCCTCAAAGAACAGAAGTAGCTTAGTTCAGAAAGGCCCACATTAAACCATCTACAATAGAAATGTTCCTACACTAAGTATCTGAAGAGAAGGTATAAAGGGCTTTATTTCTATTGGCCTACACATGGCTCAAGGTCTGCAATCTGCAGTTACAAAAAAAAATCATATAAAGACTTTAGAATTCCTGACACATACTGCCTTAAATATATAAAATGTATTTCCATGCAAAAAAGAACATTCCTCACATTGCCATTCCCAGAATTTCTTTTTAAAGCAAAGACTTTTGTTCTCATAAATAAGGATATATACAACCTCCTGCCTCTTCCCCCAATGCCTTATACATACACACACAGTGTCTTAATCTCTCTCTACCTGAAGCATGGACTTTGGATGTGGAAGTTCCTCTCCTTGATAAATTTTAATGTAAGCCTAAAAAGACATAAGATTCATATTGTAGGTTATACAATTTGATTTGACATCTCCAAAGAAAAATCATTAAATACAAAAATAATTTGCATCATTAAAAGGAAAAATATACTCTCATTTCAACAAAATTAATCACACTCTCAAAACTATTTATATACATGCAACTAAATAACACCTAGAAGAAATGTTGCTACCTGTACTTTGAACTTGTATAAGTTGTATCTCATATTTAAAAGTTTTATACATAAAATGCCATCGCTTAATGAAAAAAAAATCCATAATTCTCCCTGTCAATCTTTTTTTTTTTTTTTTTGGTAGTGCTAGGGATTGGACCCATGGCCTTGTGCATGGAAGGCAAGCACTCTACCAACTGAGCTATATCCCCAGTCCTACTGTCAATTTTTCAAATAAACATGTTAGAAAATATTTTAACCCAGTATTTGACTAATTTAAATTTTATCTCAGCTTAAGAAGAAAAAAAAACCTAATTTAATAAGAAAAAATGTTCTGATGTCCATACAGGTGTCTTTCATCTCAACTTTCTACTGACTCAATATTAATCTATAACTAAACAAATACAGTATGAAAATGATCAGGCATTCAATAAGTGAACAAGAATACATTCTTAGTTCTAACTATTCCTTCCCACCTACCTATAATGACCAATAATAATACGACCCTCTACAATGGTCTTGTCCTGGCAGGCAAACTATAAGAGCTAAAGAATAACTGAGGCAGAAGGAAAACCAATTAAAATTCATTTGAACTCAAAAATCAGTAATAGATACTTTCAGCTGCTCTTCTTGAGTCCTCAGAATTCTGAGAGAATGCTTTTTTGAAGAATTCAGAATACAGAATTATGTTTCCAATCCCTATTATCACTCCCAAATGACAAAGCAGTATTTCAGTATAATAAATGGCTCTTCTCTCCATGTCAGACGGAGGAAAAGTAGAATAATTCTGTGAACAAACAAAATCATTTTCTAGAAGATACAAGTAGTCTGTTACAATCTCTTACTTAAATGTCGATACACCCAGAGGCCCAAATATGGGTTGTTTTTGTTGTTGTTTTAAAGTAAAGGTTAAGAAACTTCTTATATATACAGATGAGTTCTAAGTTGGCTACATTTCTATCCTAGATAGTCATTCAATTTAAGAATTTGCCTACCTTAAAATACTCTACAAGATCTCTACAAGTGACTTTAGATCCACTTATCTCTTTTTCCACCAAATTTTCAGGGGCAAGCAGCAATGGAACCAGATTTTGAAGCTCTCGTTTAAAGTCTTCATCAATATCTGGTGAACATAAAATTAGTCAACATTTAGTCCAACAAAATAAAAAAAAAAAATAAGTCCTCATTGATAAGAATTCTTAAAGTTCTATTTTATAACTTATAAGGTCTATTTTATAACTTTGTAAGAGGACAAATAATCACTTAAATACAATCATTTTTTTTAAAGTTCATCCAAAAATGCCATATCTCTTAGGAAAAAAACAAAAATCCCCACTACCCTAGTACACCGTTTTCCCACACCCCCATAATTCTTTAAGTATTAAAACTAAAGCAACCTTTTCAAGAGGCAAACAATTTAAGAGATCAAATTAAATTTTAATACTACATTTTGTTTTTCTAACCATACTGTAACTTTTGTTAATTCTCAAGCCTTTTGCTATCACACTTAGATTAATTCTAAAACCACAAAAAATTATGCTATCAACTATGAAACAGAGAAATTTAACTCTAATTGCATCAATACAATAAAATGGTTAGAGCTTTTTAGCAGATAAAATATTAAAATGTTTTCAGCCTTCCAAATTCTCAAGACTTCAGTCCAGAGCAAAGGAACACATTATAAAATAGGTTAATCAATATGCTAGATGGTTGCAAACTAACCAATAAATGCTAGAAAGAACACTGAGAGCATTCTAAGCACATTAGTATTAATACATCATGATATCCTTTATCAATAAGACAGGAAATTTAAGGAATCATGTATTTGAAAAAACTTTCAGTCTCTAAAAATGTTTCATTTTAGCAAGAATGGGAATTCCCACCTTTCAATCTCCCATCAAAACTAGGATTAGTTGCAACTTTAAGACCAGGATGTGGCAAAAGGAAGCAACCCAGATTTGAGAAACAATTGTGAATGTGCTTCCTTACATTCTGTAACTCTTCATGTTGATTTTGTTTTACCTGAGGGCAGAAAGAGACAGGATAATGGTGCAAAGAGAAAAAAAAATTAATGTTAAAAAAGGAAATTTACATGTATACTTGCATGTATATACATTCAACTCAGATGGTTCTAAAGGCCCATTTCTGAACACTTTGATAAGACCTCACATTTTCTTAAAACCAGAAAAGATGTTTCTTCCTAAGTAAGCTGCCTGGGATACCAAAAAAAATAAATAAATGAAATAATAATCAATTATAGTATCTAATGTCTGAATAACAAGTTGTGGCTGTGACTTATAAATAAGATTTACCTTTAAAGTATTTATAATGTCATAATAAAACAAAACAGAATGAAACAAACAAACAAAATACTCATATGCCTTCAAATAAAAGGATTAGCACCTGATAAGAATAAGAACCAGGTCAAAAAGCTCCAGTGTAGTCCCAACTACCTTAGAAATGGTATTTTAGGACTCTCTTTATGTGATTATCTTTAATTTATGCTAGTTATCAGAGCTTAGAAAAGAGATACTGAGATACTGATATTTATTTTCTGGAAGAAAATCTTAGAAATATTTTGAATAATTATTAACTCATTTAGAGATAGATAATTTACACTCTTCAAAAGGTTCTTCTCAATGGCCATTGTAACAAAACATGTGCTATTCATAATTAAAACCTGGAAACCACCTAAATCTTCAGCAACAGAATGGAAAAACAGTTGTCTATTCGATTAGTGAAATTCTAAATAGCAATGAAAATAAGTGAACTAAACTACATGCAACAACATGTTTTAGTCTCAGAAATAAAATATTAGGCAAAAAAGCTAAATATAAAAGAACATATGTGTAAGTGCTTGTATTCATAAAAAGTTCAAAAACAAAGCCTGTTAAAGGGATAATGGTAAGGATTGGGTGGGGGTAAGTAAGTACCTGGAGGTGGTGATTCTGGGTGTAGGTTATGGCTATATTTGTTTTATTTTCTACAAAGTTACCAAGCTACACATTATGACCTGAGCAATCTTATGAACACATGCATGACATCGATAAGGAGTTTAAAATCCTTCTTGCTTTGAGGTACCTAGTTCAGATATAGTCTGTTAATTTCTTATAAACAAACCAGAAAAAAAGCTGTGATAATTGCAGTTATCTGAAGGAGCTGAAAATTCAAGGGTAAAGAATGTCTTAATCTCATTTTAGGAATAAGAAAATCATACTATTCCACCACAAGTCTTAGAATGTGACTGAGAAACCAAGTGCATCATTCCACAGACAATAAAATCTTATTAACCTACTGTATTAATAAAGGGATCTCTACACATAGAGATGTTATATATATTGGGTATGTTAGTAGATGGTAATCTGTAATTATCTGACCTGCAGATTTCCTAAGTATTTTCACAGGAAGGTACTTTAAGGATAAAAGATGATGATCTTGTTGGTGAGGTTATTTTCCAGGAATGGCTTCATGTGGCGTATCATAAAGGAGTGAGAGTACTTGGATCCTATACCCAGTTATCAATAATTAGTTAAGTGACCATAAGCAAGTAACTTTTCCAGGCTCCAGTTTCACTGTGTATGTTATGGTTTAGATGTGGTATCCCCTGGAAGTTCACATGCAAGACAATGCAGAAAGGTTTGGAAGAGAAATGATTGGGTTATATCCTAACCATATCAGTGAATTAATCCCTAATGGGATTAACTGAAGTGGTAGGGTGTGTCTGGAGAGTAAAAGAATTGGGGCATGGCTATGGAGTATATATTTTATATTTGGAGAATAGAGTCTCTCTGTGCTTTTGATCACCATGATGTGAGCAGCTTCCCTCCACCACACTCTCCGGCCATGATGTTCAGTATCACCTCAAGCTAAGGAATAAGAGAACCAGCCTTCTCTGGACTAAGACCTCTGAAACCAGGAGCCCACAAATAAACTCTTCCTTCTCTACAATTGTTCTGATCAGGTCCTTTAGTCACATGAAGCAAAAAAGCTGACTAAAACAATGTACAAGAAAAAAAGGCTGACAAACTATGAAACTAGCCTAGGAATCCATCAATGGATGAATGGATAAAGAAAATGTGGTATATATACACAATGACATTTTATTCAGCCATAAAGAATGGAATGATGTCATTTGCACTGAAAAAAATGGATCAAACTTGAGAATATTACATTAAGCAAAATAAGCCAAACTTAGAAGGGTTGTTTGTTTTCTCTCATCTGTGGAAGCTAGAAAGGAAAAAGAAAAAAGAAGGTATAGAACATGTGTCTCATGAAAACTGAAGGGAAATCAGTAGAGCAAAGAAAAGGGACCAAAGAGAGAAAGGAGAAGAGGAAAAGAAGAAGTACTAGAGAATTTGTATGCATGCACAAATATGTAACAGCAAATCCTACCATTGTGAATAATTATAACGCTCCAATAAAAAATATGAAGGAGGGGCTGGGGTTGTGGCTCAGTGGTAGCGCACTCACCTAGCACATGTAAGGCCCTGGGTTCGATCCTCGGCACCACATAAAAACAAATAAATAAAATAAAGGTATTGTGTCCAACTATAACTAAAAAATATGAAGAAAAAAAAGGATGAACTAGATATGTTCAGGGTTAGGGTTAAGGTTAGGGATATGTTTAAAATCCCTTTTCTAGCTCTATATGTTGTCACTCTATCAGAGATATGAGAGGTTCTCATATCATCTGTGTTCAATACGTAAACATTAACCAGCCTGTCCTAAATGTTGAGAAGCTGAGCTGACCAAAAAGAGACTTGTGAATATTCTAAGTGGACCAAAATCTCCTTAAAAAATACTGATCCTCAGGAGGCTAAGGTAGGAGGATACCAAAATTCTTGAGGCCAGCCTGGGCAATTTAGTGAGATCCTGTCTCAAAAAAAATCAAAATAAGGCTCAAAAAATACCTTAGTAATAGAGCACTTGCCTGGCATGCTAGGGGTGGAATCCCCAGAATGAATGAAAGGAAGGAAGGGATGGAAGAAATGGGGTAAGGGGTAGGAGGAAGGAGGAGAAGAGAGAGGGAGGGGAAGGAAGGAGAGGAAGGAGGAAGGAAAGGCAAAGGAAGAGAAAGGAAGGCGGGGAAGGAGGGAAGGTAGGAAGGTTGATCCTTTGAATATTTACTGAGGGACAGTTTGTTCAGGAGAGAAAACACATGTAACCACTTATGTAGAGTTAGTAACTGACAGTGTAAGCACAGTCCAGGCAGCCCAGCCTTTTGCCTGGTGTGGTGCTTATGCTCTCCTCTCCAGGACACAGGGCTTACCTGCAATCTCTTTTCAAGGAATTGTATTCCACCTTCCAAACCATATGAATGTTCATAAGGATAACTCCAATCTCGAATCAAAAACATTAATGTCTACACACAGAAAAAATACAAAACACTTCTTATAAAATCTTAAGAAAAAACCATAACTTTAATAGTTAACACCTCCTTTCTCCCCTAAACAATTCTTACTAAAAGTGAGTACATGGCTATTATTAAAGGCCCACCTAAACCAACAACATACTCAACCCCCATACCAAGTAATCATCTCCACTTGAATTTCACTACATAAATGGAAAAAAAAATCACCCAAGCAATAATATGATTTTAAAAAGGAACAAAAGGCAGAGCAGGGCATTTAGATCATAATTTTAAATCAAGGTTGTATAATTACAAGACCAACCAAATCAAGATGGCTAATTCTACACAAATTATAGATTTGGTGTCAATAGCACTAATTTCACAGAATGATTTTTAATTCATACACTTAAGTTTCTCCACCTCAGCACTACTGACATTTTGGGCCAAATGATCTTTAGTTGTGCATGGCTGTCCTGTGCATTACAGGATATTAATATCTCTGGCTTCTATGCACTACACACCAGTAGCATTAACCTCCCCAAAACTGTGACAACAAAAAATGTCTCCAGACATGGGCAAATGTCTACTGGGTGGCAAAATTACCCTAGTTCAGAAAAACTCATAGATAATATATTTATATTTATTCATATACATAAAAGGAAGCCATAAACCTGCCCAATCATTTCATAAAAGTGATTGCTTTAACCAGAACAGCAGAAAAGAATGAGACACAATTGATGTAAACCCACTAATAATCACTAGCAATGCTATCAGAGGAAGGACTTCACACACTGATGGGCAATCAATCTAGATTTCTTTGTTCTATTTCCTATTCTCCCACACCCTAACTGCAACTAACCAAACAGTACTAATGGCAACCTGCAAATTGTACGTGCTTCAAAAAATAAAGTAGCTGGGTGTGGTGGCACACGCTTATATTCCTAGCAGCTTGGGAGGCTGAGGCAGGAGGATCACAAGTTCAAAGCCAGCCTCAACAAAAGCAAGGTGCTAAACAACTGAGGGAGACCCTGTCTCTAAATAAAATACAAGATAGGGTGGAGAATCTGGCTCAGTAGCTAAGTACCCCTGAGTTCAATCCTCAGTACCACAAAATCCCAGCAGTTTAGGCTGAGGTAGTAGGATCACAAGTTCCAGGACTGTCTCATCAATTTAGGGAGAGCATCTAAAAAAAAAAAAAAAAAACTACCTGGAACTTTTTCATATTAAACCAAAATAAAGAGTAACAGGACTAACTTCGACTTGTAACATACCACAAAAAAAAAAAAAAAACTGACCCTTATTTGTGGAAAGAAAAGTTACATTACTCATGGTTATACTAAGGGCCCCTCAAAGTTTAATGTCATGATAATTTTAGAGAGAAAAATAAAAAATAAAGGTTGTTTATATACCATTTTTCCAAGCTGGTTAATGTGAGGGAGTCATTTTAAGAGAATTTCACTTTTTACTCTACATAATACCATATTGTTTGAATTGCTAAAATAAATGTGTATATCTTTACAAAGTTAAAAAAAGACCTACAACATTTTCTAGTAGTGTATCACATATAAAAGAAATGTGATATGACTGTCTTATTCAATTTCTCACTGTCTTAAGTTTTGGAATTAAGTAACATCTAAAAGAACCATTACCCCCTTAATCAAACTAGATTTGTTTGTTCTATTTCCTATTCTGTTGGCCTCAAACTGGTATTAAGTTGGTGACGACATCACCAATTCAACTCAACTGAATTGATTGCTACAAATGAGTTTGTCATAATACCTTGTATCTCCAAAGTTAAAAGCTGAGGTGAGCTTCTCATAAGTCTATCTTATAAAATGATAAAACACTTACTTACCTGAAATGGTTTCTGATAGATTTCTTCCATTGCAAGTCTTCCATACTCTGTAAATAACTATAAAATCAAGTTATTTAAACTAATGTCCCCAGGGAAACTGACAGAGACTTTTATAAAATTGTTCTATATCAGAGGACAAGCTATCAGAACTTTTAATATCATCTGAAAGCTAAGTATTTAATTTTCTAACACACAGGGTATATATTGAAATCACAGGCCTGGTATAATGGTGCACACCTATAATCCCAGTGACTCAAGAAGCTGAGGCAGGAGGATCACAAGTTCAAAGCCAGCCTCAGCAAAATCAAGGCACTAAGCATCTCAGTGAAACACTATTTCTAAATAAAATGCAAAACAGGACTGGGGTGTGGCTTAGTGGTTGAGTGACCCTTAGTTCAAATCTCAGTACTAAAAGAAAAAAAATGAAATCACAGGTCAGTTTTAAACCATATAATATTCAACTTTGTTATTACATCATAGGCTTCTAAGTATAAATTCACAATAATATGACAATTCAATTTTAAAACTTTAGCATATATTCTGAGACATACATACTTGTAAGTGTTGAAGATCATCTTCTTGAATATTCTGAGATAAATTATATACCTATTAAAACAAAATTCATTTTATTTTTATTAGTGTCTTACTTTGAATACACAGCTTGTGTATAATTTTCCTTGTGAAAATTAAGACTATTTTATGCCTTATCACAAATTAATCACTCAGCCACTATCTTAATCAGTGGCATACAAAAAGGACTTTCTCTTTTTTCATAATAGTCAAGTGATAAAATATTAAGGAGGAAGGAGTGGTGGTAAAATATGTGAAAATCACGAATAAATGCATTTTCACTGCCTAAATTTGGCAGATACTTGGAAAAAAAAAAAAGTGTACTGCAATAGCCAAACTATGGAACCAATCCAGATGCCCTTCAAAAGATGAAGGGATAAAGAAAATGAGGTATGCAAACACAATGGAATATTACTCAGCCTTAAAGAAGAATGAAATTATGGCATTTGTCAGTAAATGGTTGAAGCTAGAGAATATCATGCTAAGTGAAATAAGCAAGTCCCCAAAAACCAAAGGCCAAATGTTTTCTCTGATATGTAGATGCTAATTCACAATAAGGGGGGTGGCTAGGGAAAAACAGAGGTACTTTACATTAGGCAAAGGAGAGTAAAGGGAGGGGAGGGGGTACTGGAGGAGGAGGGACAGTAGAATGAATCAGACATTATTACCCTATGTACATATATGATTGCATGACTGGTGTGATCTTACATCATGTACAACGAGAAGAATGAGAAGTTATACTCTATTTATGTATGATGTGTCAAAATGCATTCTACTATCACATGTAATTAGAACAAAATTTTAAAAAGTAAAAGAAAAATTAAAAATTATATTGTATAATAGGTTCTTTTTCTCCTCAAAGTTTCATGTCACGATAACTTAAGAAAGAAAACTAAAAAGTAAAGGTTGTTTATATACCACTTTTTCAAGCTGGTTAATGTGAGGGGCAAAAGTATATAACTGATCAGTGGAAATCTCATCTAACATTGACTCTACTATAGTTCTCTTTTTACTTAAAACTCATCAGTCTAAACAATTTTAACAGAAAAATTTTAGCAGCCTCTGGAAACTAATAAAAGTAACAGTAGGTGGCACTCTTATCCTGTCCAGAATTTTCTGAAGACTTCCAAAGACAAAACAGACCAGAGCTATAACAGAGGCTCTAAAGTACACACTCAGGAAAAGAGAAATTGGACAAAAGATTAGTTAGGTCCAGTCCTTCCAAGACCTTCAGAAGAGAACTCGGGCTATAATTGGAGAAGAATGGGCACCTACTGCTAAGAAATAACTTGCATCTAAGAAAATAAGGGTACTCCAAAGGGAGAAATACAGATAACTTGGAGGTCAAGAATATACTTGATGTTCAGCAAACCTAAAATGATAGTCTCAAGTCATAATTAATTCTAAAGAGTGTTTTTAAAAGTAATTAATGACTGAGATAATTAAACTTCAGATTTAAAGTAAAACCTGACAGTATGACTAATCTATTCTTATCCATCCAGTGGACCTTAGCTTTTAGAAAACAGGTCCAGATCTTTTCATTGTCAGGGCCAGGCAAATAGTAAAGAGAGAAAGAGACTTACTTGTTTATCTTAGATCATTAGTACTTAGAATACTACCCTGGATATAATAGGTGCTAATAACCCTGGATATAATAGGTGCTAACAATTTGTTGAAAGAATAAATGACAAGGTCAATTTGTTATTGATTTATCAGCTAAACTTATTTAAGGAAAGAAAACTAACCTCCAAGGTCAGGAAGAAAGCAATGATAGATATCTAATCTTCTTGGTTTTTTTTTAGAGTCTACAAAGCACTTTATGCATTATCTTATTTAGATCTTTTCTTTAACAACAGCCACCCATGAGGTAGGCAAAATGGGTAAAACCCTCATTTTGCAGATAAGAAAGTGCCTATATAGATTTTAAGTTACTGTCCAAAGACAGTTCTTTAAAAAGTTGAATAGGGCTGAGGATGTGGCTCAAGCATTAGCACGCTCTCGCCTGGCATGCGTGCGGCCCAGGTTCGATCCTCAGCACCACATACAAAGATGTTATGTCCACCGAGAACTGGAAAATAAATATTTAAAAAAAAAAAATTTCTCTCTCTCTCTCTCTCTTTAAAAACAAAAAAGTTGAATAAACAAGAGAACCCCAAGTTTGAACCCCAATAATAAATATTAAGACACAGAACTCCCTCATTATAATTTAAGGCAAGGTCTACTGCCAGCTTACTTGAGGAGCTACACTATGATAAGGTAAATATGAAGAGATGGCTTCTATACTATTGCAATTGTGCCATTTTGCAAAAGCAGAGAAAAAAAAAATAAGAAGGGAAAAAGAGATTTCTGAGGGTCCCGGATAGTATCACTTAGTGAGTAGTAGCCATTATCCTCAGCCCTCTAAGGCTGAAAGCCTAGATTCTACAAAAAATTCAAAGGAACTGGTTTCTGGTATATTGCTTCCTTTGTAACTATCCAAAATACAAAATTTCACATTATAAGCCAGAACAGTAGGCATGGAAATAAGAAATGTCATTAAGAAATGTCAATGTGCTCTTTAATTTTAATCATATTAAAATTTTTCTTCAATCAAAAGGCATTTTTGAGGTGCAGCTGAAGGTACCAGGATCATATGAACTGATGTCATCACTTAATCCCTATCTCACCTGCACAGAGCTGGTCATAGTGCTCAGAGCAAATACGGTTGCACAGTCTTTAATAGTTGACTGGCTATCAAAGGCACCCTGGGTATCCATTAGCAGCACAGCCACCTAGGAATTCAAAAGTTTATCATACTTAGTAAACAGTCACAAAAAACAAATATAAAAATCATATATTAAATGGTAAATTTCAAAAGCAATAATTAAATCAAGAACATTCATCTCTACACATTTTAACATAATAATCTTTATACATTAAACTTGCCACACATTAAGTTCTGTGTTGCTTTGAATTTTTTTTTTTTTTGGAGCGGGGAGGGTTGCTGGGGATTGAAATGAGAGCTTTGTGCATGCAAGGCAAGCACTCTACCAAATGAGTTATATCCCCAGCCTGTTCCTTTGATTTTTAACACAGAAAGTAGCTCAAGAAAAAATATAGAAGATTAAAAATAGAAAAGTATAAGTGAAATTTTACTTTTGTTCCATTAGGTCTGTCAATCACAAATACTTCATTCCAAACTTGTATGCCTGTTGTTTCTCTTTCACAACCACCTCGCCATGTAAAGCC